AGAGCGGGAATCCCCTGGGACCACCAAAAATGTTTTGCTGAGGATGATGGGAGCCTTGTGACAAACCGGGGGCTATAATAAGGAAGAGAACTGGGCAGAACTGAGCAAAAAAGCTGTCTGGATTCGACTCTCTGAGTGGACAAAGTACTTTGGAGCTTCTGCTCTAAACTTCTTCCAATTAGCCTTCTGAAAAAAATAGACAAGGTCTTGCAAACAGGCACTGGATAGGATGGGAACTACCCAATAAGTCAGTGTTAGCAAAGCTTATCTTAATTAAAGAGATTTTTATTGGGATATTTGGTTAATATAGCAGAGTTTGCTCAGCCAAAGAAGCGTGATATTGCATGCAGAAAACAAATCTCCCAAGAAGTATATTGCAAAAGTTAAACTTACATTTATTCAAGCAGGCTCAGTTCACATTCAGGTTGCAGTCGAAGCAGAGAGAAGCCTAATCAAACAGTACCCTCCCTATTATAAGTGGCCGGATAATCCAGCCAGTATGAGGGCATTGTTTTTATAGGAGAGACCTGTAGAGACAGGTGACTCCATGAAGAGCCATGTGAATGAAGGGGGACAACAAAGTACATAAAGAGAGAGAAGAGGTCAGAGGGCAGCTCCCAGGTTAAGACAAAGAGAGAGACATCCCATTCAAAGATGGAACACTTATACACGCTTAGAGTGATGTAGCGCCCACCCCAATGCCCAGGCATGCTGAGTCACTCACTCCAACAATTTTACAGTGAGCTCTCTTTTGGTCTGGCAGCTCTGGTTTTGCAAGGCTTCTTTTAATTAGCTGCAAAGGAGCTGCCCTGGGAAAAGGCTTCATTTTGTCCGGCAAGCTTGGCACTTGGAAAACCGTACTGCTCTGGTTATAAGCGGCATTATGAAGACACAGTGAAGGGAAAATGACAAAAGAAGATGAAGTTACAAAGGCAAATGACAAGGGCAAGAGCAACCTCAGTCTTAACCAAAAAGCCTGCTCTCAGCATGGAGTAAAATTATGGTTGTATTTGATAGCCTTGCCATGTTTAAAAGACACACGCAGACGCTATGCGCAGGAGGGCTCCACTGATCTTCCCCTTTTTGCTACAATGGGCACGGCAGCCGCAAACGACAACCACACAACTGTAGTCCTTAACGTCCCTCCTTAACCATCAGCAGGACCACATGCTTCAAAGGAAATGATTTCTGAGGGTAGAAAAATCTTCTCTCTTACAATAACAAAGCGCTTGAGAAAGAGAGGGACAGTGGTGGCCTCCCCGAACGGTACCTGAGGAAGCCACAATGGATAATACAGGAAGCACTGGGAAGGAGATTTGAAGAATGGCTTTGCAAAGCTGCCATGCAAAAATCAAGGCGATGCTGCTGTTTAAAATGTTAATGCATCTTTAGAGGCTCATCTTGAGTGTTTGATGGGTTATGCTGGCTCTGGGATAACTCCCCGATTGAACGCATGAGAAGGGTAACAACATTTATCTTGGTTTTATCGCCACGGAAAGGTAAATGAAAAAAAGGAGGGGGGGAGATATGAGGGGAGGAGACCTACACCACATATGTACCTTGTCAGGTATTTCCAACATTGGTGGTGGAAAGTGCCGTCAAGTCACAGCCGACTTATGGTGACCCCCCAATAGGGCTTTCAAGGCAAGAGTCAAATGGAGGTGGTTTGCCATTGTCCACTTCTGAGTAGCAAGTAGCGACCCTGGGCTTCCTTGGAGGTCTCCCATCCAAGTATGAACCAGGGCCGACCCTGCTTAGCTTCTGAGATCTGATGAGACTGGGCTAGCCCAAATGTTGAATGCCAAAAGAAATGGCTGCCATATATGTCCTAGTCGGAAGACAACTTTTGGTGAGGTTCTACATGGAAGAAAGTTGTTCTGGTTGGGGCAGACACAGTGCCCCTTCCTTCCCCTGTCAATACTACATAGCTGAAGCTTCTCTCCATTCTTGGAGCAAATTCTCCTCTCTTGCATGGACCATGGTTAAAAAGTTCACCAGCGCTAGCATTAACCATGGTTATGTTTAACCTAGGCCCTGTTCACACGAGAGGTTTTGGGCCGGGAGAGGGACGGATCGGGGCCGCAGCAAACGGGCGCGATCCCACAGCAACATCTGGGAATCGTGCTGCGCCCGTTCCCAGCCCGTTCCCAATCTGCCCCTCCCGGCCAAAACCCGCAGCAAAAAAGAAGTGAAAGGCTGCATCACTGCCGGCCGTGGGATCGCTGGCGCGTCTTTACGCTGGCGCATCCCCAGCCCCCGGCTGTACTGCGCATGCTCGAGCATGCGCAGTTCGGCAGCCTCCCCCTCCCAATCGTCTCTTCCTCCCCGGCATCTGATCGTGCCGGGGAGCAACGGCGCCGCGGCTCAGGGGATCGTGGGATCCCGCCGCGGCCTCTCTTTTTTGGTGCGGCTTTTAAAAGCCGCACTTTGGCAGGGACCCTAGATTCCCCTTAACCCAGGGCTTGAAGTCTGTTTTAAATTGTGGTTTCAAACACTACTGAAACAAGTATCCTGGTTAAACTTAACCATAGCTAATGCTGGTGCTGCTAAACCACGTATCTAAGGAGGAGGGAAAGCTGCGTTGGGCAGATGACGGACTGTGAGAAGACATCCTGAGTCTTAGTTCCTTAACCGCAAAAAAGAGGAAACCAACGTTATGTCCGCACCAGCCCAACGAGAGAAGGATATTTTCTACTGTTTCTGCAGCCTCATTGCATTATTTCTGCTATCTCCTTAGGAGGAAGCACAGAACAAACATGTTAATAGAAAAAGAAATAATAGCAGGGAAGTACAGTTCTTACAGTCAGTTGTGATTTCGTAGGGGGAGTTGAGGCGTGCGTCTCCGCAGGGCGAAGTGCTCACGTACAGATGGAACAGAATGTTCTCTTTTAGCCTGTAGCCTCCCTCTTTTAACCGCACGAAGATTGATCGCTCCCCGTCTTCTCGCCGCTTGCTAGGATCACAAAGAGAGGGTGTAGGTCATTTGTTACACTCTAAATCAGAACTAATTCTATTTTCCTTACGGGTTAGTCTCTGCAGCCTTTTTTTGGCGCATACATATTTTCTTCTTTAGCACCTGGTATCCTCCCTTTCTAGGTATGATCTCCAGCATCCCAGTGAATTTAAGGCTCAATCATCAGACCAACTATACAGCAAAATAATCTGTATGCAGTATGTAAAAGATTAAATGCGTTAAACAGCAGGATGTGTTTCAACATTTTTTATCATCAACTTTTAAAATTCAATAGGTCTGAAGGCTGTCTTGCCAATGAGTTTAGACACAGCTTTTAAACTTTTTTTGCAAGTAAAAAAGGGAAAATAGGTGGTAAGAAATATTATGATTTATGACCAAGTGGAAAGGGAATCTTTCAAACCGCTGGTTTGATGGCAGGCTGTATTCATAAATTAAAAATGCTACAGAAGTAAGCCCCTTTTCCTTATAAGAGGAATATAAGGGAACCTATAACCACCAATTTATGAATGGAAAGGTAAATATACTTTCCCTTAATTTACTGTCCTGCACTAAGGATGGAGAATATTAATCCTGCTTATTTAGACATTAACATCTATGTGCAAAGCCCATGCTCATCAGATCACAGCTGCTAAGCAGGGTCAACCATGGTTAGTATTTGCATGAGAGACCACCAAGGAATACCAGGGTCGCTATGCAGAGGCAGGCAACAGCAAACCACCTTGCCTTGAAAACCCTACAGGGTCCTCATAAGTTGGCTGTGACTTAATAACAAAAAAGTGTATTCAGTTTTTAAAGTAGAGGATTAGTTGGTTGCTTTGGGGGCTGAGAATGATTTTTTGGGGACTGTCTCAAATTGTCTGTGAAAGAGTCCCCTTTTCACCTGCTTCATACTGTATCAAGGAGCCTATGCTTATTTATATGGTCATGGTTAGAGTAGACTGGTAAAGGCCTAAATGAGGTGGCTGGTATGAAGTCGGCAGAAGTGCTGGCTATGTCTGGAGCCAGGATGGAATCATCCCCAAGTTTTGGTAGGCTGGCGGAAACTTGCACCAGAATTAGGACTGTTTCTTAGAAAATAAATGAATAAATAGCAACTTGTGTCTTTGTCCCATTCCCTTTTAGAATACTTCAACCACTTAATTCTGAATCGATTTCAGAGGAACCAATGAAGGGCAGATCTTCTGAGGTGTGGGGGAGGGTGGGCACTGCCAGGCGCCATTGTTGGAACATAGCACAAATGATCAGCCTAAGAGCCTGCACCGTTTTTGCACATTAGGAAGATGCAAACAGCCATAAATAAATAAATGGAATTTTTAGTGAATGAGACGGGCAGGAAAACTTGGCTAGCATTGTGGGGCGTCTGTCGATTAAGGGACTTCTAAGACTGGCTTAGGTGAACTCCCTTAATCGACAAAGGTATCATAAGTGTGTCCCCTGATGAGACCACCCATCAACTGAAATTGCCATTTTAAACAATTGCCTGCAAGACCAATCCACAAAACTCTTCAAGGCACAGTGCATGATACACCTTTGCCTTCAAAGACACTGAGAGGTTAAAAGCTAGCCTCACTCCCATTCCTTCAATTATGTGTGGAAAAATTTCACCTGGCAACTAGCCAGAAGGGGCAAAATCTGGAAAACAGTGGAAAACTGGCCCAATGGCAAAAATACACTCACTAGGAATTCTACCCCATTTGTCTCTTTAAACAGGACTGGCAGTAGAAAGTGCTGTGAAGTTGCAGGCAAATTATAGCAAGTTAGGCAAGAGACATTCAGAGGTGGTTTGCCATTGCCTGCCTCTGCGTAGCAACCCTGGAGTTCCTTGGTGGTCTCCCATCCAACTACTAATGAGGGCTGACTCTGCTTAGCCTCCAGGGTTTGGTGAGATTGGGTTAGCCTGGGCTATCTAGGTGAAATTGGATTAGATGAGAATAGGTTCTTTGAAGACTAAAACCCAACACATAGATAGAAACGTTTACCTGAAGATAATCCATGTGGGTTTCTCTGTAAATTCCAAAGAAGCAAGTCTTGCCTCACAAATCCTACAAGGCTACAGACTTCAACCACTTAATTCTGAATCGATTTCAGAGGAACCAATGAAGGGCAGATCTTCTGAGGTGTGGGGGAGGGTGGGCACTGCCAGGCGCCATTGTTGGAACATAGCACAAATGATCAGCCTAAGAGCCTGCACCGTTTTTGCACATTAGGAAGATGCAAACAGCTATATTTCACAACTCTGAACGAATTCTGTGAATCACTCGTTTTCAGCCAGTCTCAAAAATAATATTGCTGTCTTGGAAACTAAACATGTATTGGGCGTTCCAAACCAAATGGGGACAGAAAACAAAAAGGCAATGAAAATAATATGATCATGGGATGGAGGGAATGAGAAAATCACACAAATACTCCCTGATGTCCTCAGTCACTCATTACGTGGCCTAGGGACTGTCCCTGGAATGGTATTAGATGTAGGCTCCAGAGGCTTCCGGTTTATGGCGACACGCTGGCAGACGCATCTCCCGGACCTCCCGGGGATGTGATCTGCGCACCAGCAGAAAGGGGGGGCGATGGGTCGCTACCCGCCCTGGAGCCTTGGCAAAAGGCTCCTATCCATGGGGCTTTTGAGGGGTGCCCTCTTTGCCAGCGCGATGCTGGGGAATTGAGGCACTCCTCTGCCCCGATGGTCCTGCTGCTGAGTGTCCGTATGGATCTAGAGCCGCTGACCGGGACAAGCGTTGGAGATTGAGCGTTTTAAACATATGCTGAACGAGGTCGTATGACCAACAATGAACTGTGAGTCGGGTTAAAGCAAAACGAGAATTTAAGAAGAAAGCTACCCCCTGGGAACGGCGAAAAAGGCGAGCGGGGGAGGGGCCCCATGCATGAACTAAACAACAAAATACTTAGGGGGGAGCGGAAGAAAAAGCATTGAAATCTGTTTTGTGAGACTTACCAGAGTGCGGATAAGCGTATGGGCATATTTCAGAGACTTTAGCAAGTTTTCATAAAAGTAAACAATCCATAAAGATGGTGGGAAAGAGGGCAGAGAAAGACAAACCAGTAAAAGTGAAACCAGCCGGCTTGAGCCCTCGACTGGAAGAAACCACCGAGCTCTCCAAAATGTTGGCAGAGTCCTTGCGCCCTCTGCTGGCCTAGATGACTAACATCGAACAACAGCTGACAAATCTAAATCAGAATCTAGCAACTCAGCAGCTCTAACTGAACTGACTGAGACTTTAAAAATAAAGGAGCAAACGGCTGAGAAGGTGAAGGAAATGGACACCAACGCCAAAAAAGTTAAGAAAAAGGTGCAAAAGCTGGAAAAGAAACAAGTCTCTGAAGAATCACAACTTTTATAGCTGCAAATGGAGAAAGCAAATTTGGTCCTATGGTTCCAAGGGGTCCCAGAATTAAAAGATGAGAATCTAAAGCAACTCCTGAGTGAAGCATTAGCCCCAGTTACAGATTTGAAAGCGGAGTATCATGCAAGCAAAATGGATGTGGCCTATAGGTCCTATTCCGTTTACATCAAAAAGAATAATCTGCCTGGGGAAATACCGTAGTAGCTAGATTCTCAAAGTGACACGTGAGGGATTCTATCCTGAAAGGAACTACCGGAATACCCTTGAAAATCGGGGACAACACTATCAGGATTCTAAAAGACATTCCATTCAAAATAAGGCAAAAGAGAAAGTAATATAAAGATTTAATCCCTTTTCTTCAAACAAACAGCATTGTCTACAGATGGTTAATTCCAGAAGGAGTCATTTTCAAACTACAAGATAAAAAAGAAAAGATTGACTCTGTTTCCAAAGCACGTGAGTTCCTGAGAGTGCAGCTGGGAGAGCCAGCCGAGGTCGAGAAGGAAGAAGATGACAGCAAATCTAGTGGCGAATTGGACTCGGGGTCTTCCGACGAGGACTCTCTTTCTGATAAGGGGGCGGCTGCCTCCAAGCATACATATAAATTGAGGATTAGAAAAGATAAGACAAAATGAAGGCTGAAGTACTCTGAAGTGCGCCTTTAAACTTTAGTTTTATTGTGGGATGCTCTGGGGGTTCTCTTGAATGGTTAAAACTTTAGATAAAAAGATAAAAAATTTAGCATAGCCCTCTGCTGGACTGTTCAAAGTAATATTAGCAATTTAACATTTATACAAGCTGTTGTGATGATCTCCTATTCTTGGGGTTTTAGTTAGTTGTGGTTTTCTTTCCTTTCTCCCTAGATGTAGTTACCCCTTCACAATTTTTCGTTGTAGTTTGTAGTATATTAAAAAATGCAATTAAAAATCCCCTTGGGGGGGGAGCAAAAAAAAAGTAGGACCCAGGTTCACATCTGCCCCCTTCCCCAGTCTTTCCCCTGCCCCTGCCTCAGGATAGACATTAATGACTGAATAGAGAAATGCAGATGTTTAAATAAAACTCTTGTTTAGTTGTAAAATTCTAACCATGATGCGGAGAACTGGGGAAGAGTACTCAGGCCTGAGGCCTGTTCTCAGTTTAGCTTTAGCCAAACTCGCAAGGGCCAAGTAATAAACGAATAGGTCCTTAGTGATGCCTTTATGGCCTCAACACTTGCTCTATTTCTTCAAGGTGTTACCAAGCTTGTTTACAATAGGAGCCCGCCTCAGGTCAGCGTGGAATCGAAATTGATTTAGCCAGCAGCAGACCTGCAGTTCCTTCGACACTGAGAAATATCAGGGAATTGGTGCTGGAAGGTGTTGTGTTTGTCTACTTTAGAGCAGCCTGACTTTGAAGAAGAAAAAAAATGAAACACAATGAGGATATGTAGAGAAGCCCTGGGTCAGCTCTTTGCTCAGCCATCTTGGTTGCTGTAGCTGTCAGAGTCTATCTGCATTAGGGCTGCCAAATGCCCCCGGGGGGCAGATTTCCCCCTGCTTTCGAGCCCCGCTTTCCGCTCCCGCGGAATCGGGGGCCGGGGGAAACCCCACCCCCGCGTGCGCGTCACCCGGAAGTGAC